TTTATTGACTATGCAAAGGCATTTGATTGTGTGGATCATGACAAATTATGGATAACATTGAGAAGAGTGGGAATCCCCGAACACTTGATTCTACTCATGAGGAACCTGTATCTTGACCAGGAGGCTGTCATTCAAACAGAACAAGGGGACACTGCATGGTTTAAAATCAAGAAGGGAGTGTGTCAGGGTTGAATCCTTTCCCCATACTTATTCACTCTATATGCTGAGGAAATAATCCAAGAAGCTGGACTATATGAAGAAAAACGTGGCATCAGGATAGGAGGAAGAATCATTAACAACCTGAGATACACTGATGACACAACTTTGCTTGTTGAAAGTGAGGATGACTTGAGGCACTTACTGATGAAGACTGAAGAATACAGTCTGCAGTATAGATTACATCTCAATATAAGGAAAACAAAAATCTTCAGAACTGGACCAATAAGTAGCATCACGATAAATGGAGAAAGATAGAGGTTGTCAAAGAATTCACATTGCTTGGTTCTACAGTTGACGCCAATAGAAGCAGCAGTCAGGACAGTAGACAACATATAGCACTGGACAAGTTGGCTGCAAAGGAACTCTTTCAAGTGCTGAGGAGCAAGGATGTCCCCTTGAGGACTAAGGTGCACCTGACACAAGCCATGATATTTTCAATTGCCTCGTATGCACGTGAGAGCTGGACAATGAATAAGGAAGACTGAAGAAGAGTTGATGCTTTTGAGTTGTGATGCTGGAGAAGAATGCTGAAAGTACCATGGACTGCTAAAAGAACTAACAAATCTGTCCTGGAGGAAGTGCACCCAAAATGCTCCTTGGAAGCGAGAATGGCCAGACTTCATCTCACCTACTTTTGTCATGTTGTGACCATTCCCTGGAGAAGGATGTCATGCTTGGTAAGGTGGAGGGTCAACAAAAGAGGGGAAGGCCTTCAACGAGATGGATTGATATGGTGGCTGCAATGATGGGCTCAAGTATAGCAAGGATGATGGAGCTGGCACAGTATTGGGCAGTGTTTCGTTCTGCTGTGCATGGAGTCGCTATGAGTCAGAAATGCCTCGATGGCATCTAACAAGAGGAAGGAAACATACTGTCATTTTGCTGAATTTTAAATAAAGTTTCCCTGGAGTTAGCCGCATAGGAGATACTGTCAAAAAAAAACACTATCTTCAAGGCATCAGTAGGAAATATGTTTAATCCTACCATGAGCTGACTCTTTATTCATTCTTTAGGTGTTTTGTAGACATCTCAAACCTTAAGGAGTTAGGTATCTTCTCTGTGTCATTGCTTTTGATTCTAAGGGAAATCCAAGTAGATATTAAGGTCTTTGCTCTCTAAGATCATCAGTCTAGCCTCTCTGTGTGTAGGGAGGATATTGAAGGACAATCTGGTGTATAGAAATTTACTCTGGATGCTCAAGCTGGCTTCCTGCAGGATGAATTCCCTTTGTAGATGTATTTTGTTTGGGTACCACCAGTGTTTAAAAGCATAGCAAAACAAAAATATTTTTGATTTCTTAGAATGTGCCTTTTCTAGTTTAATTAATCCCTATAATAATCAGCTCTTTATTCCACTCTTAAGCTTCCTGCTCTATGAAGATTGTGATTTCTACTTTAGTGCACGCATAAAAATCCACTGCCATCTGATTCTTAGTGACCCTTTAGGACAGAGTAGAACTGTCCCATTTCCAAGGCTGAAAATCTTTACAGAAGGAGACTCTGCCTCATGTTTCTCCCAGGTTTGAACCACCGACCTTTTGGTTCACAGCCAGGTTCTTTAACCACTGTTGTCACCAGAGCTCCTTAGTGTATACATAGAGTTCTCAAAAAGATGCAGTATTTTTGGTCAAAAACATATCAAGGGTTAAGGCTTTTGAGGATTATAAAATAGTAGCAGTCTTAGTCCTTGCCCTACCTTCTAAGGGTTTCCCTGCACATTCTCTCTTTTACCCCAATAAGTTCTTTCATCATGTCACATGAAAGACTGCATGTCTTCACACAGACCCAGAATTCTTTCCTAATAACTATATAAGGAGCTCTGGTGGGGTAGTGCCTAAGGCATTTGATAACCAGATGGGGGTTCAAACCCACCAGCCACTCTGTGGAAGGAAGACTGGGTGATCTACTTCTGTAAAGATTTACTGCCTCAGAAATCCAAAAGGAGTCACTATGAGTCAGGGTCGACTCAATGGCAGTCTTTTTTTTTTTTTTTGGTTTATTGAGAATTCACACTAGGATATCCTACAACTATTGCAAAGTCAACCCTGCCTGAAAACCTGCTCTTCCTCATGCTTTTGTAACTCAGTGTATGACATCATTGTGCCCAGGCCAGAAGTCTCAGAAGTTAACCATGACTCTTCACTATATGTCACCCTTTCAACCAGTCAGCTACGAGCTTTGTTATGTCTACCCCTTCTTTACCCTTCCATCAACCTTTGTTGTTATTTTTGTATACCACCAAGT